GTTACAAACAACTGGGTTGCTTTGTTAGATCATATCCGATCTAAATTACTATGAACTGTGTTGGATTCCAACGTGGTTCCTTTTTCATTCACCCGAATCTGTATGAATTGGTATGCAGATCCAGCGTCAACGACTTGCCAAGTTGTTATTGCCTGCGTGATAATGGTTCTATGCATTCTTGGATTATAAACTCTGAAGTCTAGAATGGAGGATGACATATACATTATTAATTTTTGGGTTTTGCATTTGTACCTAATCTTGGATTTTGTTTGTCTCCTCCGGATTTATGTTATTGGTAGAATTATGAGCACGGAGATTTTGGTTTATGGGTTTTGTTTGCAGTTGAAGCCTGAAGAGATTAAAGCTATCATGAAAGATTTTGATGAACCTGGCTCTCTTGCACCTATTGGGTTGCACCTTGGTGGCACAAAGTATATGGTAATACAGGGAGAAAGTGGAGCTGTGATTCGTGGGAAGAAGGTATCTTTGCATGGCTCTCTGAGTTTTTGCTTTTCTTTTTATTGGAATTTCTCTGAATTAATATGCATTTTTCAGTTACATTTTATTTAATTAGTCATTTCATTTTCAAAATTTCATCTTTGTATTCCAGTCTATGTACAGCACAAATTTCTGAAAACACAAGTTCAGACGCAGCGTCACATGGCATACCATTGTTAGATTTGTTATATGGACTTGCTTCTCAAAAGATGAAAGAAAATTATTGCAAGATATCTTACTATACTATTATATACTCACCTTCTATTGTAGGTAAATGGATTAAAATCAAGAAATATATTAGGGGTTTGTTTTTGTACATAGAAGGTTTGATCCATTCCAGTAATTCTTTTCCATATTATTATTATTAGCCTAGTTATGGACCTTGACGAACTGGCATGGTTCTTGAGAGAATGATATATTGCTAGTGTAGTTCCATGTGGGGCCTCCTCTAGAATTTGACATTTCTTCCAAACATGATCTTCTAGTCCTGGTCAATTGTCAATAACATCCTCAAGGTGCATCAGGACACTAACACATGGATGACAGATTTCTTTATCTTCACTTTAGTAAAGTTTTCTCACTGATTGTGTCCGTACGTGATGAGTAAGACATCCATCATTTTCTTGTATCAGTGTGCGCAACCACCTAACAGTGCCATGATTGCCTTCTATTAAGTTTGTTCCCCAAGTGAGAATATGTGTTACTCTGCCACAATGATATTAAACTTTTCAAGAAGTGCGGTAGAAGTTATATTTCTGCTTCGTTCATTCAATTCATTTTGCAGGGAACTGGTGGGGTTACTGTGAAAAAAACAGCCCAAGCTCTGGTTTTTGGTATATATGAAGATCCAGTAACTCCAGGACAATGCAACATGGTAGTTGAAAAGTTGGGAGATTACCTTTATGAACAGGGCCTGTAGTTCCCTGATCAGAATGTGGATTTCATATCTTAATTTCGGTTTGGGGCTTGCATCTTTTCTTCCATGACTGTGATTTGTCATTGGAGTTGTCGTTGAAAATAATGGCGTGAGGACAGAGTGATTTTTGTTTTGATAGGGTTTTCTTCTCCTATTCGCTTTTGCTTTTGTAATTTTGTGTATTCTCCCTGCTGTTTTGCCCTTTTGGAGTTCCCTT